TCTGGAGTCCAGGTGAGGCAGGAGCTGCAGGGGCGTTTGGAGGAGCTAAAAGTTTACCCTGAGTTACTGAGTGCAGCCGAGCAGAGGCTCCTCCAGGGCCAGGAGAGCCTGCAGCGCTCGGAAAGGAAGAGTGCAGAAATGTCTGAGTCCGTTAAGCAACTACAGGTCAAGGTGTGCGACGCTAGCTGTGCCGGCCAGAGGATGTGGAATGCAAAAGTCATTTTTTCTCCCCTCTCCGACCACTAGGCGGTAGTACAGTCTCGTGTGTTGCTGGTCCTGCTGTGAGTTTTGATGTTTGTCATCATCAGAAACAGAACCCTGTTTGCAGTTCAGCATCTGTCCCACTGCACGCATTGACTTGTGATTGTTGTGTGTCATTTGAAAAGTTGGCTCCCTTACTTCAAAATTGTCAAACAACATTAAACCAGGCAAAATAGTGCATGTGATTTTTTTTTTTTTGTTCTCACCTTTTCCACACCATTTGAATGCGCTCAAAGCAAGCCGTCTTGACTTTGACCTGTCTCGTTTAGATGGAGAGTCAGTCTAAACTGTTGATATCGTCTGCGGAGATGAAAGAGTCCATTCATAAGGTCAATGTACAGCTCAAAGAGAAAATGGACTCGCTTCAAAAGTAAGAGGCCTTTGATCAAATGTTTGTCTGCTCCATATAGATTTTCATAGAAGCAGCATTGAGCATGTCTTTTTTCTTTTTGTCTGCTGTGCACAGGAAGATGGAGGAGCTGCAGCAGGAGAACCTGGAGCTCATACGGAGGCTGGCTGCTCGGGAGGAGGCCCTCAGCTACAGCAACCAGCAGCTGAATCAGCGCTCAGCAGAGTGTCAGGCTCTGAGCCGGCAGCTGGGAGCAGCTATAGCAGATGTCCGAGAGCAGGTACACTTCAAAATGACGTCTGCGGGTTTGATGAACGAATTACAAAGATCTGATTTAAACAACTTTATTTTAAGTCGTATGTTTTTACAAGGATGGTAGTGACTTTTTTATATTAGCTAGTATGTTGACGCATCGTATGTTAGCAATTAATCAGGTAAATCAAGTGAAAATGCCATCCTTTTCTCCTTCATTTTGAAAAGAAAATATCCGTAAATAATTGTGGCAAAAAGTGTCTCCAACCATGCACATAGATAAGCATTTTACTCCACAAAAATACTAAATCACCACCGTAGACCGTCTATTTTCTGAGCCTAACCCTTCCTTTGAAGCTGAAGGTCTCTAAGAGAAGAAGACCACAATGTATTTTTCACTATCTCTCCAGGTGAACAAGGTAAAAGACCAGGCTTCTTCCAGAGAAGAGGCCCTTCAGACAAAGATCCTGGAGCTGGAGGCTGAGAAATGCAGAAGGGATAACGAGCTGAGGCTTCTCCGCCAAAGCAAGCAAACTGTGAGGAGAATGATTTCTGCTGATATTCAAAGTATACATGTTCAAATCAAATGAGAACTGTTGTCTGCCTGTCTCTTCCACTGCAGACTGAGAAACAGTTTGAAGTGCGTCTGAAGGACCTGCAGCTCAGCCTGGACCAATCAGAGAGCCACAAACGAAGCATTCAGAACTACATCGACTTCCTCAAAAACTCTTATACGACCATGTTTGATGATGGACTACAAACATCAGCTTTTGGATCATCTTATTTTGGTACATGTTGAAAGTTAGCATTTTTAATCTTTGATTTCTTTCTTATTTTTTGTTAATATATTCTTTTTTTTTTACTGGTAATATTATCAAACTTGGTGATTTCAGCGACTGCATAAATATTAATGTTAGCCTAAACTTTGAATAAACTTGTTGGTATTTTTACATAAATCTTCCCCGTTTTTAAGAGGAAGGTAAGGATTACGCAAACCTTCTTGTTATTGCAATACAACTGATGTGTTAAATATTAGATGTCTTTTTTTTTTATATCTCCCAGAAACTAAATTATTTACGCAAAAATAAAAGAAGCTGTTAGGTGGGAGAATTAATGTCTCATGTAGTGAAAGTCTTTCCTCTAGTTCATCTTTCTGCTTTTAATGGGGTTAAACGATACCGGTTAAACAAATCTGTTGGGATGTAATGCTCAAATCTGGCATTGATTTTAGGGTGACATTTGAGCTGTTTGGTTCATTGGTGTGGCAAGCTGTTCTAAGTGTGTGGTCATACTTAAAGCATGGACTTTGCAACCGCTATGTGCATGTGTAACAAAAACCCTTCAAAGGATGTTTCCTATAACCTCACCAAGATTTTTCATTGTCATCATTGACAAAAACTGAGAAACAAATGGCCCAACTCACAGTGACTGATGTTAGGGATCCACCAACAATGGACTATAAGGGTGTTTAAAGCATTGCTGCAAGGAAAAAACACTTTCCTGTCTACAGTTTAAAGAGGGAACAGACGGACAAGAATTCATTTTTGTCCTCATATCAGACCAAAGTGAACTTTACCTCTGAAATCCGGTAAAAAAAAAAGGTTATCACGCGTATGAAACATGATGATTGTAGAAACATGGGTTTGTTTAGTTACACCTGGGACAAGATGGCTGAATCCCGGTGATGGATCAATTCATTCTGATACAACGGCAAATTGGAAAGGAAATCGTCTGAGCATCTGCCCGTGAAATTAATCTGAGGAGAAAGTAATGAAGCAGACTCGGCTGCTGTTTTACAGATACCAGGCATGTTTACATGTAGTAGAATAGAGGTAAATAGTGCTAGATTTGTTGCTTGTTTTTTTTCAAATCATTGTTAACTTCACTGTGACCCTGCACATGTTGAATCAAATGTGTTTTTTATGTGAGAGGTGTGGTGCTTTGCGTACGATTTTTCTTTTTCTTTTTTTTTTACTCTCAGCTGGACTGAGATAAATTAGTTGGAAAGTTAAATGCTTCACTCTCTGTTGTGAAGCCCATGCCTTTAGGTTTGAAAATATAATTACGGTGCTACATGAAAGGTTGGGATATTTCCCAACCACTTCAAGCTCAGTTATTGGCATGTTTTCATGCTTTTTAGGTGGAACTGTTTGTATTGTATTGGCTTTCTGATGCTCAGGGGCAAACATAAAAACCTTTTGCTGATTTGCTCAGTATTCTGGGGAAAAAAATTGAGCTTCTATGCTTTTGTTTGTATCTTGTTGTCCTGTCACTGTTGCCTGTGGTGCTATCGTAATAAACTACACCAAGCTCATGCCTTTGTAAGCCCAGAAATGTTCTTGTAGCAGACATATTCCCTTAAGTAAGCGGAGCTCCCCATGTTCTCGGAGACAAAGCTCTATTGTGCTCCCTGTCAGAGGATGGAACCATTTCATCTCTGTGTGCGTCAGTACCCTGTTTTTTTCCTTTTTCTCCCAAGGTCTTGCTTGTTTATGTAATTCTGTTGATCACTTTGGGAATTTGCGCATGTCTGCTGTTGGCAGCAAAAAATGCTTACAGCTGATTTTTGGCAGTTTGCTTCATATCACAATTCAGCACTGAGATGGGCACACCCTGAGGTTTACAGCTCACAGAAGTTTGTGGAGTTGAGTTCTACATAACAGGTTATTAAAAACAGAGGCTTCAGTATTTTTTGTATTTAAAAAAAAAAATCTGGGATTATGAGTGCAAATTTGATTCTTACTTTTTGGAAAACAGCTTGGGGACTGGTGACTATTCTTCATTCCTCATGATATGGAAAGTTTAGATTAACTTTTGTCAACCTATAACTTCTTCATAAAACATAAACTGTAGCTCGTGCCCACCATCTGCCTTGCAGCAGGAAAACCACTCAGAGGTTTACGTTACAGTCATTCTCATAAGTATTCACTGACATGTAGGTCCTCTCAGAAGTGGGTCAGCCAGATGCTGAAGATAAAGTACAACCTATAATATTTCTCCCTCAGCGCTGTTACAGCAGACCACCTTCTTATTTCCAGTTTTCTTGGTAATTGAAATAACTCCTTTTTTTCACTTCTTTAGCTTTAATTCATGAAGACCTCATTACATATTTGGCTTGACATAATCATTTGAAATAAAACACTGACATGCTGCAATAGGTCTCCATGTTTTTATTTGAGAAAATATTATCACAAAATGGAAAAATGCACAATGTTGGCCCGATTTCATTACCAGTCATATTTCAGCAATTTGCTGATAAGCAGTAACTGCAGTGACATCAGAAGGACAACCTTTTATTAGAACTATGTAATAGGAAAGGTAAGTGGTATAAATCCTCATCAGTAAAACTGTTGTAATTCCTAGTTTTCATGCCATTATGTTACAGATTTCGTCCACGAGTGTACATATTTTTATTAAAATGGAGTTTCCCCGACAAAAAATTAGAAGCTTCACAAAGAAGCAAACCACAAGGCTCCAATGTTATGAAGCAAACTCATTAATTGAAGTCCACCAAACTGATGTTGGCATCTCAAGTCCATGTTCCCTCGTAAATCAAACATTCTCTCACAGTTTCATATGTGGACGTCATTAAAAAGTTTGGAGTTCCCATGCTTGTCTTGGCTGCTGGAGCAGTTGAAATCACACTTGCAGGACTCTGTCATCATCACCTTCCTCCTGAATGTCTCTCCGTTCTTGCATTGAAAATGGACGGGCAGTTTTCGGGTTCTGTGGGGCCTGCAGCATCGCCCATCTGAGCAGGACCCACAGTGCCTGGACTGGAACTTCCTCAGGCTACGGCAGCCGGCATAGGACAGTTTAACTGGATGGATGGTCTTTTGTGTGTGCCGACATTTCTCTGCATTCTGTAAAAGAGAAAAATGTCTAAACTCTTGCGTTGCAAAAATAATGAATGTGATATCACATGGCAATCCCACACAACATTCAAGGTTCAGTGTGTACCTTTAAGGTGAGTAGTTTGCAGGGCTGAACCTGGCACATCCGGGTTTCTCTCATCGGTTTGCACTTCATATTGTTGTTTGTCATCCTGGTGGAGATGCCAGTCCCGCAGGATCTGGAGCAAGGTGACCAGGATGTGGTCTGAGACAAACACTGGATCCCCCCGGAAAGCATGCCGCTCTTTGAATGGGTCCTTAGATCTGTACAAATGAAAACTTTTAAGTTTTTTCATAGAGTGACATTACAGGTGTTTGAGCCAAATAGAAAGACACAGTGCCCCCAACACTGTAATTCTAGCAGATTTTTGGACTATTTTACACATTCAATTAGCAGGAAAATGTGGAAAACTGCTCACCGTGTAAAGATTCAAATTCTCTCCACACAGCTGCCAGCTCATTCTTGTCAGTAAGGTCGTCTTCGGTTGTTTTGTCTGTCCTGTGCATTCGATTCCGCTTTCTTTTCACAGACTTATCTTTTTTTGCATCCGCTAAGCATACAAGTTGCTCACAGCACCGTCCAGGTACTTTGACCCGCCTCGGCTTGTCACAGCCCAGTTTGGGCAGTGGGAGCTCGTGTGGGCACAGGGAGACGCACCCAACAGAACCATCCATGCAAGTGCACTGGTGTTTACAGTTGGGCCGGAAGGTCTCGCCGTTCTGGTAAATTTTGCTGTTGAACTCGCACGTTCTCCCATCTGATTTGGCTGCTGAAGAGAAGCAGAGACGGTCAGGAATGGCGTGAAGGCGGCGTTTATGTAAGAGAGTGGAGCGGAACTCGGTGTACCTCGACAGACGCCCTTGACCGAGTCAAATCCTCCTCCAAAATTGCATTCCAGTCCCTTTGCGCTATCACACGGCAGGGTCCTGTTGCAGTCCTCGAAGAGCTGTCGTGCACAAACCTTGCAGCATCCACAGCCGTCCAGGAGGAGGCTCACTCCAGCTGCACATGCTGGGACTTCGAGGGGACACTGGCAGTCTGCGGGACATGAAGCTGACACCTAAGAAAAAGCGAAAAATCAGTTTACCTGCAAAAGCAATTGTTGCATATACATCTTAAGAACGTATATCGTAAAACATCTCACCAGTGTAGAGCACAGGATCACAAGGACAAAGACTTTCCACATCTTCACAGGCTGAAATTTCTACAAAGCCAACAGACAGACAGCTCTGCAGAGCCGGCGGAGAGCTGACGAGTGCTCGTCTCTCTCTTTTTGAGACTGACTCCTTTTATTCACTGCAGCAGATGTGACGTGTATGCACGCTGAAGAGGTGTCCCAAAGCTATGAGAGGAATGCTTCTCTACACGTCCTACCATGATCCCGACAGAAGGTCTCCCCCCCCTCCCTCCTCTTCTCTCAGTCTGTGGGCCAAGAACCACCCTGAACAGCTTCAGTTCTGCCAGAGCGTTCCCTGCAATTGAACAATGTCGTATTTTTTCCTGTCGTGTGGAAACAGAATCAAATGTTCCAACTGTTTTTTTTTTCTCCAATCCAATCATTCAAGATAACAATGATTGAAGTGTTTATTGCTTAATCACATGCGTTGCTGGCAAATTGTTTATTGTTAAATGTGCCGTTCATTAACACACAGAGATATCATTTATGCTTATTAAAGATTCTTGAATTGATCAAATATTTGTTATCACATCCTGGTGATATATCTTACAAAGATTTCTCTGCCAAATAGCTCTGTTTGTTCAAATATCATCTCCTTCAGACACCAATTTATGTGTAGCCGTTGTGTGATTGCATAAACCAAGTTCTATTTTCTATTTGACAAAATGATCATCACATCTTTGAGAAATTTTCTATAATTATAGACATGTAGTAAAATTACTTTTAGCACTCTTGTTTACAAAATCTGATTGATTGTGGGTTTACTGCCACTCCACACAGTGTGAAGCGGTCTGACTTCTTCGCTTATCGAGGGGCCTCTCTCATAAAAGAGGTGGGCAAAGTGTTTCTTTGTTCTAATGTGCTGTAATATACCATGTGGTTATGTAACTGACTAAAGGCAGCGCTATTATAACCGACACATGAAATATTCCATCATCAACACATGTATGTGAACTCAGTCCCCTATGGGATTCAACAGCAGGACACTGCAAGTTCTAACATAAATATTGAAGCGAAGCTACATATTTTTATGAGCAAGTGAATTTCTATCTCAGCTGAAGGTGTGTTTAGACTGCTGCACGTTGCCTGTGATGGGTGTTTATACGATCCAACCATGCAAGTGTTAAAGTCAAAGATGAATTCCACTCTCTCACCTCAAAAGGTGTGGGCACTTTGGAATTTGGATCAGAGTTTGACTTCAGTTTTTTCAAAGATGAGCTAGTGAACTTCTTAGGGTGTTTGAACCTGAGGGATCTTTGTTCAGTCTGATGGAAAAATTCCAAGTAAAATTAAGAAGAACAATTAAAAAAGACACATGAAAACCCAGCCTGAAGCTGTATTCCACCGAGGATAAATACCCCATGCGTCTTTTTAAAAGGTAGATAAAAGGAACCCCCCTCTATCCACATCAAACAACAAATAAAATCATCAGGGGGAAAGAATGCCTCTCCTTTTATTAGGATGTGAGAGAACAAAAGGTGTAGCGGAGCAGACTGGCACTGTCTCCTTCTTATCTAACTGTGGTTACACAGGCCGTTTTGAGCTGGTGCCAACTCAAGCACACAGAGTGTGAACAAGTGTGAGCTCGGTGCAGTCACTGGTGCCTGGAAATCGCTGACTCTTGTGATTTGGAGGGGGTCGTTTCTCAACAAAGCTATGATATAAAGAATCTACAGAAGCACATTAGGTTAGAATAACACTGGGGATATGATAACACCTATGGAAGATGTTTCAATCCTTCGGAGCAGCCTGTGATTGTGCCTACATCTACCTCACATACAGTCTCACATTATGCAATGGGATGATATGCATGTCTTGAATAAATGTGAGCGTGTTTGTAGTATAGATCTTATACATATAGAACTTTTGGGCAATGCACTTTTTATTAAGGGAGATCAGTGTTACTCTAATGACTCCGTGTAGGTCTATATGTTGTGTGCAGTGCTGAGATTAAAGGACTAGTTTCAGTGTTTGTGACAGTATTAGATATTGATATCTGAGCTAGAAAGGCCATTTATTGAGCTACTTTGGTCATTTATAGGTAAATATTAAGATATTACTGTGCCATTTAGGAGCCCAGTCTTTTTGTAGCTATTATTTCAACCTGTTATGGTCTATTGGCATTGATAAACTGAGCGACCTCAGTTTTTTTCATAACTACTGTTTTTGCTCTCTCGTTTTAAGTTCTATGACCATTCACCTCCAAAGGTAGTTGGGTGGATCCCTTTTTATGGTCCCTAAATTATCATTAATTCTATTCTAAAACGGAAATTTGTGCTAGTGTTTTTAAGGGATGCAGGTTATCTCGCCTAATGAAAGCTTTGAGGGGCTTCAGCCCCCAACCCATGGCCGTACTTAGAGTTTGTATATATGAAAACTAGTTCAGTAAATAGTTCTATTCTGCATCCAGCAGCAATTGCATATTGTACACATTAGTATGCTGAAAAAAAGGTAAAAGTGGTTTCCTTTTAAAAAAAGGAAACCAGTGCCTCCTGCGGAAATACAGCCGCAAAAAAGCAGAAATATAGACAAAACGTAGGAGGCAAGAATGGTTTCTGAATGTAAAAAAAAGCATAACTGTATAAAACCACAGTGCATCCCCAAGCTTGTTTTGGCTTTTGTGTAGGTGCAGGTTATGGGCTGCACATCAACAGCAAGGAGCGAACACCCAGATTGTTTAATCATTTCTATAAATGCCTCATTTCCTTTGTATATGTGCTATATAAAGGGCAACCGCATGTTGGTTTGATGGGTTCGTATGAAACCTTCCCATTTGATTACACCTTTTATTCCCGGCTGCTCTAATCTGCTATTTGTTAAGCGCCTTGAAATGTCATGAGGCATTTCTGGAGAAACGTGGATATGTTTTGTCAGCTTTCATGTGGGTAAAGAGTTGTTATTTTCCTTTTTATTTTTTTCCCAAAGTGTATAAACCAATGACCTTTTATGTCTAGACTTTCTTTTTGAAATGCCCTTCTTCCAGAAATTGCAGGGATCTAATAGTAAGAACCAAACCCTGTATTTCATATCCATTTTCAGTCATCATCATTTCATTGAAAAAACTCACCCAGAGTATGACAGGAGGCCATAACTGTTGAGTTCCTACGCTGTGCTTTCTGCTTAGGGATGGGTGTTTTTTGGAGCGACAGTTCATGCTGCATTGCAGAACATGATAAAACAAGCCTGGCCAACTGTCTCCTGCAGGGAGCTCCTGTCCTCAGTTAGTGCCATATTGTGATTAGAGGGAAGTAAAAGACTGCATGTTGAACTTCATGGGCATATTGCTGGTGTGCATGCTCCACTTACAACCTCAAAAAAATATCAACCAACCAACTAAACTAACAACAGTGGTACATTTTTGCAACAAAAATTGTATGGCTTAGGCAGTTTTTGGTGATAGGGTTCTGATGGGTTTTCAGTTTGTTTTTTTTGGCCGTTAATGTCGCCAGATCACTTCAAGGCTCTTCTAATCTTCGTCCACTGCATTGTACAAATAATTCACAATGAATTAGCAGTTTTTTAAAGTTGACACTTTCACTGCATTCAGGCTAATCGCTGTGACATTCCCCAAACACGAATTTGAAATGTCACAAATGAGAAAGTATCTCCTCTGGCTGATCTGCTTTGCAGAACTCATGACTCCAATTTCTTTTAATTCGGTTTAAGCAGCTTTCCTTTTCGGTCATTTTTAATCAGATCTTGAGAAGTAGCTCTCAAGGCCCTCTGAGGGTATATCTTTTTTCCTTTTCTAGAACTTTTGGGCCATTTTGGGACCATATCTTCTACTGGTGTTAAACTAAACATGAAAACTCCTACACCTGAGTATGGTGTGAAGGTTGCCCTCAGAATAATAAGGTACGGCAACAAAACGAGCTGTCTCTCAAAGCTATGTTCCCCAGAAACGTTCCAAACAAATAAATAAATCAGCAACAAACAAACTAATGGCGTGAAGAAGCCCGACAGCGCCACCCAGTGGAGTCGGCGGGAACAGGCGGATGCATGAAAGCGAAAGACGTCCGCCGGCGGCGTCGGTGGGAGCGATGAAAGTTGATAGTTTTGAACAGTTCATTTTCGCAGGGGGGATTATTGGCTTCAGTATTTGGCCATTGTTTATGATGCATGTACAAAAAGTAGATCAGAGGCTGAAGCTGACGACCCAGCTCTGAGTATTTCTCTGGTCTGCTGTCGACGTAAATCTTTATACAATCAGGAAGTCCGGGCATTTTCCTCTTCCCGAGACACAAAAGTTGAATTACCTGTTGAGACGTCGATTTTTTAACGTCTGAAAATGAGGCTTCACGTTCCATAACGCTTAAAGCTCATTTGTGTCCGTAGATAATTTAACTTTAGCTCGTTTTTACGTGATTGCAGTCGTTATTCTTCACCCGGAACACCTGGATTTTCACTCCGCGGGTGAGAGACATGGATGCTCCTCAGCTCACTGAAGATGAAATGGCAGAAATTAAGAAGGACGTGAGTACCATCAAACATCCATTGGTCGGCTTTAAAGTGAAAAATATATCCGATTCAAAAGTGGGGTGTGTGATAACGGTATTACACTTGGACTACGTGTGCCCTGTTTGGCGTTAAAGGCCTATTTACTGTGGAAATCCCCCCACCGCACCCTGCCCTGAACGCACCAACTGGATGTCTTTTGGCCTTCTCTGTAAACCCAGAAATTTAATATTTTTGCTTTAACCCCGGGCTAGAAAGCTGATCTACCCGCTTGCCCATAAGAGACAGACTGACAGTAAATAGCCAGTGTTGTGTGACCTCTGACCTGGCTGCTGTGGCCCCCCAGGTGCTGACCAGACTGCGGCACTACCTCTGCGACAAGATCCGAGCAGACCGCCACCTGGACTACCTGCGTTCTCGTCGCATCCTGACGCGAGACGACGCCGAGGAGATCAGCTGCCGGTCCACGCAGACCAAGAGGACGGCCACGCTGCTGGACATCCTGGCCGAGAACCCGCGCGGCCTGGACGCTTTGATTGACTCCATCCGAGAGCTGCGTTCGCAGAACTTCATCATCGCCAAGATCACAGACGAGGTCCAGAAGGCCAAAAATGAGAAGATCGAGTCTCTCAAAGGTAAGCAGGTGTTGTCACAAAGTCCTTTTGGGTGTTATCTTTTCTGAGTGTTCCCGGTGGAACCCCCATGTTCTCTTCTTCTTCTTCTTCCTTCGGTGGCTCAGCAGCCTCAAGTTTCTCGTCGGACGGCACCTTCAGCCCCCCGGGCACGACCAGCGACCTTTCCTCCACGTTCTCCCACAACTCCACCCTGCTCTTCCATCCAGACGGAGAGCGTAGCCCCTCCAACTCCGAGGTGGCGGGCTCCCTCAATCCCCCCTCGTTACAAAAGTGCGGGGACCAGCTCTCCGTGGCGGGGGCCAGCATCGGCGTGGCCTCCTCCTCCACCGCCTCCTCCAACCTGCCCAAGCCGGGAGACCCGGGGGCCCCCCCCCTGCCGGACGAGGTGACGGTGGAGCCCCCCTCGAACGTAGACGCCGCCACGCCGGGATGCACCAGCAGCGGCGCGGACCCAAACTTCCAGCCCCTGCGGTCGCGCTCGCTCACCCCAACGTCGCACAGCGGGACGTTTTAACGGCGCGGGCTCCACTCAGACGGTCCTCGTTCAGCCATCAGGGATACACTCACAGGGTCACGCAGATCATTCAACACTGTCCCCGTCCTCGTGCCTTTGGTTCCGCAGTCCATCGGAAATGACTACACAGGGGGATGTGCTAAATGATGGAAACGTATCAGTCAGCTCTTGTGGGAGAGGACGGGGGCATTTTCGTAGTGTGTGACAGTTCCTGATATGTCACGAGCCTTGGGAAATTTTAACTACTGAAAACCACCATTTTCTATTTTTCATTTGGGATGATTCCATAACGGGTTGTGAGAAAGCATGACTTTTACAGTTCAGTCACCCTGAGAAGGAAGTTTTATACACTGGAATGATAAATACTTGAGCAGATATGTGTGTGTGTCTTTGTGTGTGTGTGTGTAATAAACCCAAACCTGTCATTAACGATTTCATTTTCATTCTGTATAAGTCGCTTAATATGTCCTTCACTACAAGTCTTGTGTCACAAATCATGGTGTGAAATAAGTTGTGTGTACTGCTAATTTCTTCATATCTTGTGTACAATAACTTGTTGCATATTAATGATTTTATCTACAAATTCAGCTTTTTATTTTTTTTTTACTGTGTTTATTAAAAATAAATAGTATTTTCGCAGCTTACTATGGCAGTATCCCTTTGCTGAAAACACAATACTGGAAAATAATGAAAGCGAAAAAGGAAGTGAAAAACAGAGGCGGGGAAACAGGACATAGAGCAACGACAAAATAAATAATATTTCACAAAAGCATAAGTTTCACAGAAATTTTTTTTTTACTTGTATTTCCACTCCATTTCAAAAATATTACCTTTTAAAATATCTCAAATTTTTTTTTGTTGTTTCAGTGTATTTCAGTTTTATTGGCTTCCCTTAATTGGCTTTTTCCCAAATTTTTGTTAGATATTGTATCTTACAAAATATTTATCTTTCAGATAGTTGTTTCAAATCTATATTCTCTTTTACAGTCTTCCTGAGGTTGTGCTTTCTTTTTGTGTAGCTCCAGAGAGTCAACCTGACTGTCAAAGTGCCGACAATTTGTGTTTCAAAACAATAATGGTTGTTTATCGACATAATGAATTCAGAATTAAATCATTCTAATATTGCAGAAGCCTTCATGTAAAAATTGAAGTTATTTCTGTTCTTACTGGTTTTGGAAAAACTGGAAAATCTTCAAATGACACAGAGGGATGACATGGTGTCATTGTGGAGAGGGTTACCGTCACTGCACCACCCAGTCTTTATGAACTTACACAGCAGCTCTGAGCGGTGGATGACAGCTCTCTGGATACTTGTATTTAACAGGAGTTAACAGGTAAATCATTTATTCTCATTATTATTATTACCATTATCCACTCTCTTTACTGGTATGTGGTATATAGTCGGCAAAAGTTTGCAAAAATGCTAAAGAAAGCATGTTTGAAGATGGCGAAATTACAAGTATCAAGATAACCTCTAATGTAATCTGATTTTATTCAGTTCTTTTAGTCTTGCTTGTATTCTTTCTTTTAATAATTTGGTAAACATTATTTGGGAAGAAAAAAAACATATTAACAGTTTTATCAATCATGCACTCACATGTTTGACAGATTGCTTGAATGTGTACATATTTTCTAATTGATTTGGCTCATTCAGCGTTTATAACCCATAATTTAACTAATAATTACACAAAAGAAGGTTCTTAGAAGGTATAGGTGTGTATGGTGATAAATTATCACCTTCTTGAAAAACAAACCGAGGAGAGCACAGTGCACATATGCAGAAGAACCGGTTTGATAGACATCAGAATGACTGGAATGGTTGAGCCCTTTTCTCGTCTTCTGAATATCTCTAATGTACAGTGAATGTTGAGCGGCCGACTCTTCGGTTTGTGAGCCATCAGCTCTGTTTTACACTGGAGCTTAATGGAGGAAACTGAGCCACTGTTGGCCGGGAGATCAGACGAGAGGAGGCTGAATGGTCACGTAAGATGGAGTACCGGCACGCTGGGGTCAAAGGCCGAGGAGGATTTCCGACGGAAGCTCAAATACTTCTTTATGAATCCCTGTGAGAAGTACAGAGCCAGGGGTCGGAAACCATGGAAACTGATGTTACAAATCCTAAAAATTGCAATCATCACTGTACAGGTAAGTCAAAGGATCCTCCTACATGTACACAGATCATTTTTATGTGATTGTTCACAGAGTGGGTATATGCCTCCTCATTATTTTCCTTATTTTCAATTCAGTTAGTCTCTTTTGGGCTGAGCAACGAAATGATGGTCACATTCAAAAACGACAATCTGATGACGTTCAGACATCTGTTCCTCAAAGGATACAAGGATCACCAGCAGGGAAGCTATGCGCTTTACACTAAAACAGATGTATATGACCACATTCGCTTCATTATTAACAGGGTACTGAACATTATTATATTACATTATTATTAGGACATTATTACAATACTCACTGATAAGACTTAAGCATTCCTTTTTATAATTATTGCATGAAATGTGTTTTTTCACCCTCCCATTTTTTTCTTTTCAGTTTACCAATCTCCAAAACCTGACTATAGGCAATCTTGCATATGAGAAAATTGAAGGAAAGTACACACCTTTGTCCATTTGTCAGATGTTTTACCGAAACATCAGCATTGATCCTGGGGATGACACTTTTCATATTGATCCAAAGATTGATAAAGGTACAAAAGCACTAACTCAAACACCTCAGGTTGTCTTAATGCTTCATATTCATAAAGGCCATATTTATAAAAGCTGATTCATTCACAAGAATGGAAAATAATCACAGTGTGGACTTCCACATCTAACGTGAAAAGAGGAAATACTATATTTATAGGAATTTATGCCAAATTCTTCCCCCTCAATACAATTCAGTGAAGTCTAACTACCTTTTAACACGTTCTCCCTCCTCACAGACTGTATTTCAATTGATCCTGCACAGTCGCTGCACAACAGAAGTCTGGCAGCAGAAAAAAACCTGTCCTTCGATTTTAAAAGGTAGGTCAAAAGCGAAACAACTAGTTTCACGCCAGGTGATAAGCGTGCTGCTGCTAATTTGTGTTTATTTGTTCAGGCTGTTATCAGTGAATGCCTACCTCATTTTGAAAACCATCAATCTGCAGACTGTGCGGCACCACGAGCTTCCAGACTGTTATGACTTCCATATCACGGTTTGTGACATAATCAGGGAATCTGCCACACACGCAGTTTAAGAGATACACAGCATGAATCAATGAGGAAAAATCCAACCACGTGTGACAAAACACTTACATTACAAAATCCTCTCCTTTGCTTGAAAACAGATCATCTTTGATAACCATGCACACAGCGGGAAGATAAATGTTGATGTCCATCATGACGTTAGAATATTTGAATGCAAAGACTGGAGCGTGGAGGGTAAATGTAAGTGTGACTTTCTTTTCTTTGTCTTTCATAATAAATTGCACTTAAAGTTGTAATAGAATAGGTATTAACACAGCGCTAGGCACCATTTGTGGGCTTCACACCAGCACTGTGGGGTGGAAAAGTACACTAAGTTTGCAGAAAGAAACAAATGCTGATCCATTCTAAATTTGTGGCTTTGGTTTTCAGCCGGGAAGATCGACTATCTCCTCCTGTCCTTTGATTCTGCTGTCATCCTGGCATGCTTGGCCTCACTCATCCTCTGCACGCGATCTGTCATTAATGGCATCCAACTCCAGTTTGTGAGTGACAGCCTGACCTGACCGCTGAATGCACTGTCACAGAGAAGCAGTGGATGAGCCGGATGTATTTCATTCTTTGTAGCTATTGTGTATTTCACATACACTCCGTATCTGCCTACTTTTTTCCTCTGTTTGCAAGTTATTCTTTTATTAGAAACTGTGTTAGTAGTTAACTGATAGCAGGAGTTTGTATTAAAAAATATATTACGCTTTTGTTTAAGTTATGAGCAGATAGTATTCCGCCTTTTCATGGAAATCATCAAACCTTAAAGTTATATCCAGGACTTTTCATATATTTCAGCTTTATTCTTTCTATGCAGGAATTCAACATCTTCTTCCACGTCTACTACAATAAGATTGTAAGCTGGTCAGACCGCATGGAGTTTGTGAACGGCTGGTACATCCTGATCATCATCAGTGACACGCTGACCATTGTGGGGTCAGCACTGAAAATTGGAATACAAACAAAGGTTTGCTTCTAGCTTTAATGTCTCTTATACACTGCAGTAATTGGCTTGTCTTTTTCAAGAAACCTGCTTTGATGAATGAGCAAACATCAGCTAATATGGAATTTTTCTTTCCACAGTTTTTGACCAACTATGATGTGTGTAGCATCTTGTTGGGAACAGCCACAATGCTGGTCTGGGTTGGTGTCATCCGTTACCTTGGTTTCTTTAGAAAATACAATGTAAGAACCAATACAAAATTCCTCCTCTTTCAATAAAGTACCGTATGGCTCTTCATATGGACTCAAACAATACTTTTTTTTCCAGATCTTAATCTTAACCCTGAGAGCAGCATTTCCAAATGTAATCCGTTTCTGCTGTTGTGCGGCCATGATCTACCTCGGGTACTGCTTCTGTGGCTGGATTGTCCTTGGACCTTATCATGACAAGGTATCAAGATTAAAATCCAGTTAATCCCTTTCAAATATTTCCTTGTGATTACAGAATTTATTGGTTAGAAAAACATGATCATCTTTCTTTTTTTCAAGTTTCGCACATTTGACAAGGTGACCGAGTGCCTCTTCTCCCTCATCAACGGGGACGAAATGTACGCCACCTTCCTGAAGATGAAAGACAAGAGCTATATGGTGTGGTTTTTCAGCCGAGTGTATCTCTACTCCTTCATCTCCCTTTTCATCTACATGGTGCTCAGCCTGTTCATCGCTCTGATCACGGACACCTACGAGACCATCAAAGTCAGTCACAGTCACTCACACAGAGATCCGGCCAAAACGTGGTTTTCAGAGCTCTGCTTATCATATTTCCACAAATGTCATTTATCTTTCAGCACCACCAGAAAGACAAGGAACCGGTGTCTCAGCTCCAGTCCTTCATAGCAGAGTGCAGAGACCAGCCAGAGTCTGGGATGTACCAAACTGAGGAAGAACCTTTGACCTGCCACCCATCTCTATGCTGCTGCTTTGGGTGTAAATGAAATTCAGAGGTGTCAAGCCAGTGCAAATCTCATGGTGATGCAAAGCATCCAGCAGAGTGCTAATTATTTAATTGTGTGTGTTAATAAGGGATGTGAGTGTTGACATATCAAGAAAATGTACTTCTATTTTATTTATGTTAAAAAATATTGCAGTAAATAATATACAATTGCTTGAAATACCACATTATTATCATGCCAACACAGAGGGTAGATTTTCTTTAATAGCTATTGTAAACAAAAAGAATAAAATAAATATGAAATAGATATTAAAGCAATGTGCGACCACTTCAGCAGGGTCAAAGGTCAATTCATGGCAGTTGCATCATTTGGCAACATTTTTGCACCCAGTGGCTGGTACATTTTATAAGCCATGATACCTCAGGTTGCTCATACTAGTTTCCACTGCCATGATTTTTTGAGCTCGCTATCTCTGTTTTTAGGAGCACTTCACTGGAAATATCATTCCAAGATTTGTCAGTGAAAATCTAAATTTACAATATCACTCCAAATGGTATAATCTGTCTTCATTTGCTCGTATTGTTTGCAAATTAATTTGGTAATATGTCAGTCATGAAGAATATTTTTCTTAACAACATTTTTGTCTTTTTATTCATGTTGCACTTTTACATAGGGCGCTATGTACACTCCTTTCTGTCAAAAGTTTATGCAAAGTTATTTTGTATGTTGTTTTTAAAAAAGTATTTAGCATCAATGCAAATAAATTAAGTTGTTTGTGTATGCTTGCGTTGTGTAGATTTGATAAACCAAAGATGAGACTCTTTTGGACCGGCGGTGACACTTACCAAACACCGCCACAGGGGGGCGCTGGAGTGCCGTTTGCTGTGTGCCACCTGACAGCCTTTTTTTTTTGTGTCTTCATAATCACACACTGCACAAGTTTAAGTCCAATAAACGGCTCACATACTGGTTGCTTAACAACGCTGCCTCCAATAGCAATGCGCGTTGGTCGGACAACACCAAAGGAATAGGCTTCAAAAAAACTGCTGCAGCAGGCTGAGTGAGGCTGTGTGTAGACCTGTAGGTGTTATCCCTGCATGGCTGCGTTTCGGTGCTGGTTTAGATAGACATTGTTGCTCTTGGCAGGATGACGACAGAACTCCGTGTAAAACTTACGCATGTTTTTGACAAAGGAGGGACTTGTTAATGTTGCCATCACTGCCGAACTTGGAAGGTCGAGTTCATTTGACCCATTTCACACCTCAGAGTGAGTATGTTTATGGTGTGTGTTCACTTCGCATAGCTCTCATTTAGGTTAGCATATGACGTACAAAGGTGAACATAACAGTTTGGTTAGCTCAGATTTTTTTAGTTTATTAACCATTTAAGATAATAGAAATTCAATTTAGAATTATAAAATAGTTGGAAAGCTGCGGTTTGAAGTTTGTTCGGTTCAAAATGCACATGAGCAAACAAGCTAACTAAAGTCTTAGTTTTGTCCGTTAAAAGTCACGACCGTTCCACTAGTGTTTGAACCTATTCCTTGCATACGTTTTGCTTACTCACATTAAGCTAAATGTTACGCCAAACACTCTGTATTACAACGAGGTTTGTTTGACTTTGGCCCCACCTCAGTCAGAGTAACTCAAGAAAAACCTGTGTTTACTGCTTTAGCTGATAAGAGCCCTTGTGGACTACATTTGGACTCCATACTGGCAACTAATGTAGCTACGTCAGGTTTCATTCTAACCTTTCTTGAACATTAGTGGGTGTTTTTTGTGTGTTTTTTTTTTAACATGCTGTGTTATACAGAGCTCCACAGTAAGGTAGTGGGAGTGGCTCTTGTCGTTAGGTGTCTGGTCCATCCAGTTTCACCAGAGCCAGCTAATGTTATAAGGATGTCCTCAAGGCATAAATGTTCAAATACATGACGCTCCCACATTTAGTAAATCAGTAATGGATTCTCTCTCTCTCTTTCTTTTTCTTCTTAGTAAATCGTTTCACAGATCATCTTACTGCACATCGTTTTCAGTACCAGTGGCCAATAGTAGAGCACACATAAGCCCCAGTCTAACCTCATCTGGCACACATTTGACAGTTAATCCTGTGTGGGTAAAGCATCAACCCAGATTATCTATTTCTGGTTTGTCTCACTGTTTGATGCTCCGTTTCAGAGCTTTGCTCCAGTGGGATTTTCTGGTCCACTTCCTGACTCCTCATCCAGCTCCAACTGGTCATAACTCATGACCTGGCATCCCTTTATCAAGTGGTTTCGGTGATATGGGAGAGTGGTGGACAACTGAGACGTCGATGGGTAATTTTCTCGAACAGGCCTGCAAATGCTCAAGTGTTCCATTAATAGAAACTTCCATTAGCTGTATCTTTCTTTTTTTTAGTTCCTATTTCAAGTGACCCACATTAATGTTCTTGTTCGTAGCACTAACCCAATTTGAGCCTCATAGAAAGGAAAAGAACAATGCATGCAGTGTATCAGCAGTCACCATAACTTCACTGTCTGTTCTATTTTCAGAAAACTATGAAATCTCCAGCATATCACATGCAGTGATGTCCCCCCCGAGACAAAACAACCTTGTGTCGGTGTACTCTCTACCCTTGTCTAAAAGCTCCTACAGTGTGATAAGTGCCTTTTGCACTGAAGAGAATGTTCCTCAGTGCATTTCATACATCAATCAGGTATGAATTTGCCTAGGTTCAGTAATGTTGTGTTATTGTAAGAAAATTCATCATGCAATTAAGGTCTTTATTGAAGAACCACCAGTTAACTTTGGTAGATCTGCCTTGTAAATTGTAAGTGCAAACATTTTAACGCTCTTTGCATATGATTTGATAGGTTAGGACAGTGAAGTCTCTTTTCTTTCACAGGAGCTAGCCTCACTAGGCCTCCCTACATGTATCGAGGCCAGCTCACCAGGGGGAGCCAGCCTAAAAGCAGTGCCAGCTCTAAATGCGATGTATGAAGTCCTACGGATTCACAGGCGGGATATGTCCAATTTAGAGGAGCTGGAGAAAGATCAGTTGAAGAAATCTAGTACTTTGGAGCATATGCAGATGAGCAATTCTAGACTCAAGGTGTGTATTGGGGGAATTTTAATTTTTAGTCAAGATTATATCTACCTTTTTGGGATCTGATATATATTCGTTCATACTTGTGTTTATATACTGATGATCTAGAGTAAAGGTTCTCTTGAGAAAGAGTTAAAGTGGAGCTCTAACTTGGATATAAAGACTCAGTCCTCAAAGTTTTTGGTTTGGGGGTAGAGCAACAGCCTGCTGTTGTGCTCTTGTACCATGACCTTTTCGCTCCGTTCTTAATTTCCTTTTAGGACCAGTTGGAACTTTCCCTGAGGGAGAAGTCCGGTCTCCACGAGACCGAGAGGCAGCTTCAACTCAAAATTAAGACTTTGCAGAGCTGCTTAAAAACGGAAAAAGATGAGGTAGAGCCTCCCTTTATGTTACAAGCTGCAGGAGGTACCTTTGCATGCCTTCGTTTGTAAAAGCAAGAACTTGACAAACCTTCATGGTTAAATCATTGATAGGTTCAGAAGCTCCAGAGTGTCATTGCCAGCCGTGCCTCTCAATACAGTCATGATGCCAAAAGAAAAGAGAGGGAAGCTGCAAAGCTAAAGGAGCGCCTCAGCCAGCTGCTAGTTGACCGGAAGGACAAAAAACTAGGTAAATCTTTTAATTCAATCCCTTTTTTCACAAAAGTTTTGTAAGTATTGATATGAGTCAACGTTTATTTGATTTGCACTGTCTTTGTGATTTGAAACAATTTATACTAAGTTCCACATTTTTCCCAAATAGCTATCGATGTTTTGAATAGCTTGGGGAGATCGGATGGAAAAAGGAGCCAGTGGAAAACTGCAAAAGCAGCAGCCAGGTACTACGGAAGCCCCATTGTCTCACCCTGTCAGCCAAAACATCCAAAGTGTGTTATGATAATTAAGAATATGAATTTGTATCTTGCTGTCCGTAGTCATGAGGGCGAAATGTACAAGTCCTTGCTGAGCGACTATGAGGCGAGTCAGAGGGCCCTGATGCTGGAAAATGTGGAGCTCAAGAAAGTCCTCCAGCAGATGAAGAAGGAAATGATGCATATCCTGAGTCCATGTAAATCATCCCACAGAGGAGCCATGGCTGATGACAGCCAGGAGCAGGTGAGGCACAAAAAACTGCAGAAACTTAAACTACAAATCAGACAAGCGTTCACACATGTGCTTAACAGCTGGATGTCAAAGCTCACCTAAAGTGAAATCTCTTCAATGTACCGTTGAGGTAAAAGGTTTTGACGCCTCTAAACATTCATTTTGATTCAAAAGAAAAACACTGGACCACTGGAACATTAAAAAGGCTTTTGTTTCTATTATTTTGCTAAAGGGTGACTCGGATGGGGAGGAGAAGACTGGGGAATCCAGCAGGGACTCTCTGGACCAGTCCTGTGAGCAAGCCAGGGAGCAGCTTACCAACAGCATCCGCCAGCAGTGGAGGAGGCTGAGGAACCATGTGGAGAAACTGGATAGTCAAGGTACATTCACCACTATAGCAAAATGTTTTTTTTTCATAAAGAAAATCCTTCTGACAAACAATGTGATGCTGTTTGATTTTTGTTTGGAAACATAAAAAGGAAATCTGCTCCCTTTCCCACATGCAGTATTTCTGGGAGGAAACTGGAATAATTTCATAGACTTTTTGTTTGCTTAGCCTCTCAGATGGAGTCCAGCAAAGAGGTGATACCCTTGGAAACGTATGAAGACGAAATGGAGAGGATGAGACGTGAAGTCCAGCAGTGCAAAGAGTTCATTCATGCGCAACAACTCCTCCTCCAGGTTAGCCCAGCTGATTTTATACTGACATATTTAACTTTTCCCACAATAAACCAGCATGACGGGAAATTTTTTTACCAGCAAGTAAGATTGTCAGACATAAATCATTGGATTTGAAAAGGATAACTTTTTTGCGTTATTCAGCAACAACTCAACACGTCATTTGATGAGGAGACAGCAGCTCTTCTAAATGACTGCTACACACTGGAGGAGAAAGAGCGCCTCAAAGAGGAATGGAGGCTTTTTGAGGAGCAGAAGAAAAACTTTGAGAGGGAGAGAAAGAACTTCACAGAGGCTGCTATTCGACTGGGGCGAGAGGTGATAGTGGAGTTGTTTTGTTAGTTTTTTCAGCTCATAGAGTTGGATGGACTGCAGTAAATCTTTTGTTTATTATTTCACAGAAAATGGCATTTGTGGAGGACCGTTCTGCTTGGCTGAAGAATCACTTTTTGAGTATGACTCCCTTTACAGATCGAAGATGTTCCTCATCAGATGGTCAAAGTGCCTTATCAATCAGTAAGTCTGGTTGTAAGTCAATCAGTAGATCTACAACAGATCAAAATGTTCTTCTTTTTGTACATGCTGGATAGAGATGATGGCAACAAAAGTTGATCTTGAGTCTGACTTGAATTACGCAGGTAATTGACCATTGACATGATGGAGTGAGAGAAGGAAGAAATGAAAACAACAAAGAACTCATTAGAATAGCAGAGGATACAGTGGATGAACATTTTCTTAATGGAACATTTAATCCGTAGCATGTTTTTTAATGATCTCCTGCATTTCAGGAAGTGAGCCAGAAGTCAGGATGTCTTCTGGAAAAGCTCAGGTGGCCAAATCATCAACGTACAACACATTCTCCACTCCCAAACATTCACAAAGTGCTGCTATGCCATCTACAACTGACCTTTACAGAACACTCCGCCTAATTCCAGACAGCAGGTATTCCTCCATTTCAAGTTTAAGTCCTAACTAGCAAATGTGGTTGTGGTGTGTGGCACATAAATTGTTAATCATGTCGTCAGTTCCTCCAGACTTTCAAATCGAGGATGCTGGCAAGAGTCGAGCACCATGGAAGATGGGGTTTCTCGGGTTGCACCAAAAAGCAGAGCTCGCTGTGGTGACTTGAGTATATTCTCATTTGGGGAAGATGAGAACAGCCTTACCTGAAAAGCATCCGGTGCCTACTCTGTGTACTTTTCCTTCCTCGAGCGACCCCTGGCTCCATCTGCGTGAATGAACCCTTTTTGCCATGGACCTACACGGATCATATAGTGAAACTGATCAAACTAGAAAAGCACTTTAACAAGTCTGCTGTTGTTGTTGTCCTCACAAAGCAATTAGTGCTGATAATACAGATTTTAAGCTTTATATGTATACGAAGCATTGATTTTTGAACATGTTGTTAAGAGAGATTCACTTTGTACATATTGATCAGATTTAAACATTGTTTACACCTTTTAGTAATGTAAATAATAGTTTTTAAGTATATATTGAAGCCTCATGCACAATAAAGCTTTTTTTAAATTGTTTTCATTCTGTCTCTCTGCCGCCCCCTGGTGTCTTTAAACACTAGCTGCACTGAAGTGAACAGCCGGAATCCGGATGTGATCATCTTTGCTTTAGTTTCAGCAGCATCCTGCCGAAAGTAGCTTCCACCACCCTGCCTAAGATTCACCCTAAACAACGCGAACAATGTCCGGTTCCTCCAACCTCGTGGCCATGAAGAAGGTGGTACAACAGCTCCGTTTCGAGGCGGGCATTGACAGAGTGAAGGTGAAGAATTTAAATAGTTTTTAGGGGGTGGAATAACGAGGAGAAATGTCGACCGTCACCTCGAAATGCTAACGCAGCTAGCTTTTGTCAAAGGCTAGCAGCGTGATAGTTGTTTGGAAGTCAAAGGAATTTTGAATTGTAGTTCATTAGGATCACTCAGGAAATTGAATTTCAGGCTAGTTGATATCAGATAAAGTTGGTAACACTGATTATTTGCAATGGACCTAAATTAATCGGCTCTATAATGAAAATCCTCCCTCTTTGGTAATCGTTGTTTTCTTCCACTAAATAGTTTATTTAGTTATTAGTTACTTTCCTCACACAAATTTACAATTTTTGTATTTTAATTTTCGTTTAAATGTATCAGTAATACTAGTATTTTTCATAAAAGCTAAAAATTAAAGTATGGCAACTTTATTTTGATTTGTCATTAGTTTTATTCCTCTTATATCTACTTTTCAACATTCCCTATTTTCTGTTTTTTATTTGAGAAAAACCAAACCCCGACACTGTATATTGGCTACAGATAGTTTTTATGAGCTGAAAAGCTAGCTGAGATTTCCTTTAATACGTCGCCATGTAAGATTCCTGTTGTAATGCATGTAAATGGGACCCCCCCCCCCCCCCCTCCCCTCTTGTCTCCAGGTTTCCCAGGCTGCTGCAGACCTTCAGCTGTTTTGCTCGCAGAATGCCTTGCAGGACCCCCTGCTCACTGGTGTGTCCTCCAGCACCAACCCCTTCAGGCCGCAGAAGGTCTGCTCTTTCTTGTGAAACCACCGTGCTTGGTTGTAAGTCCATAACCTGCGCCGCATTTACAGAAGCACATGTAAACATCTGCATGACTTGGACAGAAAATGACACCTTTATCATCGTTATGCCTGATCTAATACTGCCATCCTGTTCTGCAGGCCTTCATATAGAAGCTACAGGGAATATAGACCTCAGCACTGCTCCTGATGCCAAGCCATTGAACTGCCAAGGAATCTCTCAAGGGTTAAACACATTGAATTCATGCCAAGAAATAAAATTCTATTTTCAGCTACAGTAAATCAAATGGGACAGTTTTTCATGGCACAGTGTGATTTTTTTAAAGTAAATTATTGTGCCTTTTTTTTCTATCATTCCGTTTTATTCATTACTGTTGTGTATTTAATGAATTAAACCTTCTTTACTACTTCAAAGTTTTTTTTGCCTTGTTCTTTTGTCAAACTTTTTTATTTATTAGTGACAGAACTGCTTATGAAATAGTTGGCAGGCTGCATATATTTTATTAAATAAATATAATTATATTTTACCGATTAATACTTAGATGACATGTAGATCCCTGCTCATGATTCATTCAGGAGACTCAGTGTTTGATAATGTCATTGTTTTGCCACCGCAAACTTAATGCTTAGAAATAGTCTGATGAATAATGTTTTTTAATGTTTTAGATGGAAACAAAAACATAATAGTGTAGAAGACAGGACAAAACCCCATTGATTTGGACCAGTTATAATTGCAATAAAGAAATGGCAAAATCTGGATCATCATTAGTAATGGAAGTTTTTTTTCCCCCATATGATAAAAAAAAGTTGTTTTTTTTGTTCATCAATGTCTTTACAGGACAACTGGATAATTTTATCATATTCCTTTGATGATACTTATTATTGTTAGCTATAAATAAGAAAATGATTAATGACTTATTCTGTTGCCAAAAAAAGGTCTACAGAGAAGAAGGAAGATAGAATTCTCTAATGCAATCCGGATGTGATATTTAATACATTTCCAAGTGGTAACATTCATGGGATTTCCCAATATACTTTGAAAGCACCACACCAGTCAAGTTCTCGCGAAGTTAATAATCAAACTCTCGCGAGATTGTACTTAAGGACTGTCAGATCCTGTTGTGAAACACGAGCTCCGGAGACTGAACCCAGGTCTGTCACTCTGTCCCGCTCTCCCGGCGGTTTTGACGGAACTGGTTACTTGTAACTGCGGCTCGACCAGCCAAATGACTCCACCCTAACCATTGTGAAGAATGAATCATGGGACATCGTTACTGTGGAAACGACGGTAACCTCTTTTGTTCACCTAGCATGTTGAATAGAGTTTGCTAAGAGGCGCTAGTGATTTGTGGTGAAGCGCTACATATCCTCTTTGAATTGGTTAGTTTTCAGCCTGATATATTGTTTCATTGATAGTTCCCAGTTGAGCTATTCCATGTGATGCTAATGCCTCTCGAGGCTGATGTAACTTTGTGGTTTCTTGCCTCACTGGTTGTCATTACACGAACCGCTTGAGTGAAACTCGTTAGTTGTCTGGTTAGGTAATCTGCCGGATGTAAAACGTGCTTGTTGAGTAGGTGTGTGTCGGCGTTAATCGCAGCAAGCGATGATGCTCCGGGATGGCTCAACTCAGCTTCTCTGCCTCACGGCCAGCAGCGGGGTTCCTCTTTTCACAAGAGGGGCCTCCAAACAGCTGCCCTTCTCTATCATTGGGTCCTTGAATGGTGTCCACATGTTCGGAGGAGGGCAGGGAGTCCTTTTGTCCTGCTGTGAGACAGAAGGTGGAGGGAAAGTGGTGTGGAGAGTTTTCCAAGAAAGTGTGATGCTCATTGCTGTGAGTTGTGGATCCATCTACAAAGAAGATAAGGTCATTTTACACCGTCTCCTGGAAAACGTATGGAACTGCATGGTGCTCGTTTTGGGCCAGGATGAGCTGATGAACATCAGAAATGTAGAAAGACTGAAGAGGGACTTGAGGTCCTGCTTCAGGCTCATTGATCTGCTGCTGGAGGAGAGGCACCAGGGCTTCCTCGGAGATCTAACACACTGTGCTGATTCACTTCTGCCTCCGAACCCGGCTCTTCTTCAAGAGGCTCTGGACGGATTTACCAAGGCCGCCGACAGCGAATTTGGATGCCTCATTGTCCACGGGCGCATAGCCACAGCAACAGAGAAGTGGTGGCGCCTGGCACCGCAGGAAGTCGTCCTCCTCTCCGCTTTGATGCGTTCCCTCTCCGCATCTGGATCAGCGTCTTGTGATTACCCAGTATTCCTTCCTCAGGGCAGCCCTACCGTGGCCCACCGCCTGCTTCGCTTCCAGCTCCTACCCGGAGCAGATGTGTGCGTGCTGTGTGGTCCCACCCCCTCTTTGCACAAAGCCCAGGCCGAGCTCGTGGGTTGCTTCTGGTCACCTCTGGTGGAGACCCTGAGAGACTGCCTGGCTGTCGGAGAGCGTTGCTTGCCGAGCTCTGTGTCCCTGCGGCCTGATGTGCTGGCGCTTCTTCTTATTAACCGTGAAACCCGCCGCTCAGTGGCCTGTGTGCACGCTTCCACCCATCACCCGCTCAGTGACGCTGTACCCTCCAAAGCCCGATGCTGGGAGCTCCTGAAACTCTTCTTCATCTTCACCATATCACGCTACTTCTCCAAAGAGGAAGCGCTATCTGTCCCGCCAGAGGAGAGCGCTCAGAGAGAAAACACCGAAGACTTCATCAGTGGATTCTCCCACCAGCCCCAGCAGTGCTATTTAGTCACAGAAGAATGCAAAAGTTATGGACTTCAGACACCGCAGCATCAGCTCTTTCTGCTCGTATTACCATCTGTGCCCACCTTTGCCCTCCGTACAGCTGCCACACAGACTCTGTCTGATATAGTTGCTGCCACAGGGTTTTAAAAACTGGTTTTAAATTAAGTATTTCTGTCTTTTTTTGGATTGGGGGGTGGGTACTCGCATCAGTTTACTCAAGGTTGATGTTTGCTTCAAATCCTGACGCAAACATCGAAAATGACATGCTGACAAACAGATTAAAAGGCAACTTTTTAGACCCCGTAGCAGCTGTTTAACAAAAACGTGTTACAGACTAATTTGAAGATGTTATACTGGGGTGAACGGGTGCTTCCAGTAAAGGAAAAAATGTGAAAAGCCTGACATAAAGATTGTCTCTCATAAGTGGTTACACTGATCTGCCTGCGTCTCTTTGAAATATCTGGAGAATGACACATTTCACTAATGAGGCTCAGATCAGCTTGAACATGTGAAATACTGACAATTTTGTTGTCTTATCTCTCAAATCACAGACTACTAAACCAAATCTAACCTAAGTATTCCAAATAAACGGTTTAAACTATTTGCCTTTGTAGTATTGTTTTTACCTCAGAACACACAATGTCCATCTCTGTGACAACAACAACAACAACAACAAAAAAAGCAATATTCATTGCTTTTGTGCAATGGGCCATCCCAGACACCTCAGAACCCAAAGAAGTCCACACCGCCTCTGGACATGGTTAACATCTGGTTTGTTTGCTTTTTCTTTTGCACATCAACATTTCAAATTCCATTTGTGAATACAACTACATATTATTAAGTTTTACAAAGGTGTCCTTTTCAGCAATTGATAAAAGACAGTTTATGAGGCAGGTTTTTCGAGAGGATAAAGAAAATGCCGTCTCCCGCACAAACCCCAACGTTTGCTCTTTGAAACTGAAATTCCACCCGACTGTTGAGTGGTTTAACCGCACAGTGAACTGCAGAGGGAGCCATGCCCCTGTTTTTTCTAAACTTTATGGTTGCAAAACTTCCTCAATATTTCTTCCCCCCCACACCGTTGACACATTTAAAAAAAAAACGAAGATCTTTTTTCCTCAGTGAGCTGACACTTCAGGGATGCTGTTTTTTAGTCCAAATCTGTTGACATCACCTTAGAAGTAACTTTTCCACTTCATTCCAGTTACCTATGTTACCCAACTTCCAGCTTCTTTGGAATGCACAACACCCAGTATATTTGTGAACAAAGGGGCTCTGGTTGTAAGTCAAAGCCAATTTAACAATATCTCTTTTCTGTTCTAACTTTTTTTTACTTTAAGCACTGTTTAGAAATTGGTGTAATTACCAGAACTGCACTGTATGATTCACGACTTTATAATAACTAGTTCTAAACATCTTTTGTCATTTAATTACTGTTTTGATAGCGTTGCTTGGGCTAAATACGTCTTTGTAAAAAGGGTGGGGGTTTGTGGGGGGACTAAAAGCGGGTGTCCACTCAGGGGGGGTGCATTCAGAATGATGAAGCTTTCAAAGCGTCTTCCCAAAACTTCTGCGGAGCTCTGTGTAAGCGGAGAGGCGCGGTGCGGTTACTCCGGTTCACTGGCTGTTTTCCCGGGCCCACGGCTCGGAGCAGTCCGGCCCTAGTAACCGGAGAAGCGGCTGTGATTGACAGCGTCCCGGAGCGTTGGATAACGGGGCAGAGAGGGGTGGGATGACGGGGCTAATCCAGGCGCGCAGGGGGAGGGGAAAGAGCGGTTGTGGATGCAGATTTTTGCCAATGTTTGCACCCTAGAAATTGGACTGTAAAAAAAAAAAAAAAAAGAAAGAAAAAGTTTTGCTCTTCTGCTTGTGTGTGAGAAGATCCCAGAGAGCCACCTTTGTTTTTGATTGGATCCCAGTTTCGGCGGAGCCCAATTTGCAAAGTCCAAAGGTCCGAAAAGGACGGAGCGGAGCGCCTGATCATTTGGAGAACCGGGAGGGCGACACTTACACAACTTTTGATTTCGCTCCTGTCCTGTGAGGTGCAGGTCGCTGTGCTCCGCGGAAGCCTTCAGATTTAACCAGCTCGTTGAAAGACAGTCGCCTAGCATGTCAGCCACGCGGGTGCCGATGCTCTCCGGCAGACACGTCCGGCTCTTGAGCCCCGGGCGGTACGTACTGTCGGCGGGTCGCGGCGGAGCCGAACCCCCGGGATTCGGTCCCCTGGTCCCGGTTGCTAAACTCTTCCTTCACCCCCCCACCACCACCACCACCACCCCCCCATCCCCCCCTTCTCTGTTCTCCTCTTCTCCCGGCAGAGCTTTATCAAGTCTGAGCGCGACGAGACGTGGACTTCCGAAGGAGAAAATGTCCGAAAACGGGATGATGTCCCGGGCCAAGGTGCTGACCATCGACACCATGAACCCCACGGTGAAGAAGGTGGAGTACGCCGTGCGGGGGCCCATCGTGCAGCGGGCCGTGGAGCTGGAGAGGGAGCTCAACCAGGTTTGTGTGGAGCCTACACCACCTGTATCCCTCTAGGAAAACTTATCAGGCCATCTGAACACTTTTCAAGAAGTTTTGGTTTGTGTTGTACAGAGTCAAAGTCCAGCACACGCTCACTTTAATTCTCACGGTATATTATGTACTATTTGGGGTTTTTATTTAAGATACAAAGGAAAAAGCTCCATTGATTTAGTTAAGTTTTAGTTTAGTCGTTTACATTCTTGTTCTGCCACATGCAGAGTGCAGTTTACTTTAATTTTAATCTTACAGTTTAGCTGGGGTTAAAGGGAACATCAGTTTAAAAAAACATAATTCATCCTGATTTTTTTCATTATTATCAAACGATTATTTTAAAAAAATTCACAGCATTTGTGCTGTCACTATTTAGGCCGCTCACACACCCACTTATCAAAGTCCATCAGTTAACTATTAATTCCTGAAGCTGATCTAGTGGAGCAGTGGGATCTGGTTTGTACTGATTGATATTGTCACTTTTTCCTCTGTTGCATACTGTTAATTTTTTCCTCGTTCTTAATACTTAACTGTTCCCGTTTTGTAATTTATGTTCCCCCTTTTTTTTAAAGGGCCTCAGATGCTCATGACAAAAAGCCTAAATCAGAGTTTACTTCTTGCCATTTGTGCCGTCTGTGCCATCCTGTCTGACATGATTAAAAACATATGTTGTTGTTACACATAAAGGTTCTACAAGGGTAAAGGTCTGTTACAAATAATTTAGAGCTATTTTCACTTTATTCATTTTAATATATAAAAATCTATAAATAATAATAATAATCTATCGATAAAAAGTCTATGAATAAAAAAAAGAAAAAATCCTTTCAAGACAGCAAAAGGAGAGATTTTTTGTATTTTCCCTTTTCTGCCGCGGACAGCTAAATCTCTTCCTCCCTCTCTTTTTATGATGATGTGGCAGCTGTGAGTTTACCAAGTGCAGTCTGGTGTGAAAAGTGTCCTCTCCTGAGTGCTTTTCCCAGGAAAGGATGAGTATGGGAACAGGTTCTGCAGCGCGAGCCAGTAGGAACAGTAATGATAGCACTAACCTTTTAACCAGATGGTGCACTGGACCCTAAGAAGTTATGCTTGTTTTCCCCAACACGACCCGCTCTCCAACCCTCCTAGTGAGATTTATTCAGTTTTATTTCCACCTAATTTCTTCCCAGATGTACACGATTTGAACAGGTGTTATAGAATCGATTTCAATGCTCAAAAAGCAGAAGGCATTGCTTTGGGATCCAGCTGGCAAAAACCAGGATAGATTGCAGGTGATGTAATGGTCAGATCACTGATGTTTTCTTTGCCCTTTTGGCTTACTCACTCTTTTCAGAAGCCCTGAACTGAGCGTGAGAAATGGGGTTGTTGAGGAATTTGGTAACACTCCCTTCTTCTTTATCAAACTCTGTTTTTGTTGGTATCTGATGACTTTGAGAATCAGATCGCTGCCTTTTGTGAGAGTATTTAGACACACACGAAGGCACAATGATCCTCTACTCCTGTTTCCTTCACATTTAGTCTTTACAGGACTGAGCCAGCACAAGTATTGCTTTGTTCTTGCATTTTCTCTCACCTAATCCAAAGTATGTGCTGTGCAGCGAAACAGCACAAGCTTACAACTTCTGTGTCAGTTTCCAAGTTCACTGATAAAGGTTTCGCAGGCAGTTTATTACATTGTGGTCTTTGTTTTGTCTTAATGAGCTGCTGGCTGATAGTGAATGGAGACCTTTTCAGAGAGTCACCATGGCGACAGACACAAAGCTATTTCATTTGTCAGATGTTTGTCCACATCTTCCACTAAAATGACAAACAACTTAAAGTTTTCCGTCGTAGAAGTTGTGAAGTTTTTCTTCCAGGCGCACATCCATGATACTGAGGACGCTTTGCATCAACCTAATGAGAACCTTCTGCTGCTCAGCTTAGCCATCAAACCAAAGAAAGCTACACCGCGAATGGGCGAACCGTTTCACGTTGTTATTATTTTTAGTTTGAAATCAGCAACGGGGGACAAAATATGTCACGGGGCTTTCAAGTTAGTTCGAGGGAGCAGAGGTCACCAACCTGAATAGGAGGTTCCCTCCATTGAGGGGAGTTATACATGCTGTATCACCTTATTGGCTCAGCTGTAGAGACGCCTCTCTTTTGTGACCAATGACAGCCAGAGGCAGAGGGCCGTTAAAGTCTGAGCTGGATTGGACAAATCAAACAAACGGGCTGTTTTGATAGTTGCTGGCCTCGGAGTCTGTGAGGTCGGTGTGGTGGCCCCTCCGCAGAGTCATGCTGTCTCTCACATCTGCTCTGTGTTTCTGCTGTGTCAGAGGTTTCGGCCTCTGCACAGATTACCATCCAGAACTCTTATACAATGGTCACAGAAGTTATTAAATGAACATCTATGTAGTGCCAGAAATACTACAGACCCTTTTATGAACTAGACATGAGGCTCAGTGCTGCTTCACGTCCTCTTTCGCCTGTTTTTCAGTTTACAGCCAGAGAGGTTAAAGGTCTCTGTTTAATGTAGGTTTTCTGTTTTAATGTGCTGAAGGATTTAGGGTTTGATAAGGAGGTTTCCTCATGTTATAACTTTGTCCCATGTTTGCAAATGCCGCCCTGTTCAAGGCTGTTGCTTATACCTAGTTTTTATAGTAATTTTATTCATTTTATTTTTTCTATCCCGTCACTTTTCTATCCTCTGTTAACTTGCATCCTCAAACTAGCCTTCCCTGTAGCGTCAGGCCTTCTTATCTTTGCTGATTTCACAGTTTGACTGCTTTCTTACACAGGAAACACATCCTGACACATGACAATAGGGATAAATACCAGTCATACCAGTCAATGTCATGGTGTTCTGAATTGGTAATCACATAATTCATCCAAAGACATTAATAGTCAGTTAATCCTATTAGAACTGGGCTCAGAGAGCTTCTTACTTTTAATTATGATGTTCCCCCTAGAAACTCTGCTTATGGAATTTAATTAGATACCATCAAATATTATGTTTAATACACAGTATTTTGTACTTCACCTCTACTTTTACTTCCTTTTTTTAAAACTGTGTCCATACGTCTGGGGACGAATAGTTGAAACTGGAAACAGATGCTCTCATAACAAGTTTCATGATGTGGTCTCCTGTTCCTGTTTTTTTTTCCCTATTTGTGGGTCATTTGCAGGATTTAGGCTCTATCAGCAAAATATGTAGATTAAGTGTGAGTTTGAAGGCATCTCACAGCAATTTTGCTGTCAAGTAGAAAAACATTTGTGGCACCATGTTCTGAAAAAGATATCTAATGGACTTTAAAGCAACAGATGTTTTTTCTCAGTCCAAGAACAAGTTAATCTACAGCAGCAGTGCTCTGAGCCAACCTATGTGTGTGTTTATGGAAGTGTTGTCTAAATGTGTGCACACTTTTTGCCCTTATAGTCGGGAGGTTGTTCAGATGCGCTGATGCATCTTATCCTTGCTAAATCGAGGCGGCTCTCTATATATTTCAGCCTCGTTTTATTTTTTTATTTTTTTACGGTACAGGGTGAACAAAAGGCGCATTTACCTCACTGGCGCATTTACCTCACTCACTCATTTCGCCACTTACCTTCTGTGCATTGTTCTTGTGTTTGGCAGGGAATGAAGAAGCCCTTTGAAGAAGTCATAAAGGCCAACATTGGTGACGCGCATGCTATGGGTCAGCAGCCTATCACTTTCTTCCGACAGGTCAGTTTCTCTGCCCCATTCCCAAAAAGGCCCTCCAAATATAGCAACTTTTGCTTTCCAATGGAAAGGAGTTCCTCCTCCCTTCTAAATGTATTTTTAAAATGTTATGTAAGGATCTGTGGTGGATACCACACCTTTATGCCTCCTCATCTCTTTGTTTCAAGGTCTTGGCCCTCTGCTCTTACCCAGAACTGTTGAGTGACAGCACATTCCCGGAGGACGCTAAAAGTAGAGCCTGTCGGATTCTAAATTCTTGTGGAGGGAACAGTATGGGTGCGTATGAATGGGATAGCTTTTTGATTTAAGCAGAATAGGAAAAAATAATATATATGTATACAGTACATATATATATATATGTATGTATTTATGTATGTGTGTGTGTATTATTTTGTAACATGTATTGCTTCATATCAATCTGTCAGGTGCCTATAGTGCCAGTCAAGGCATAGACTCTGTGCGTCAGGACGTTGCCGGTTACATCGAGCGGCGGGACGGTGGCGTGCCATGCGATGCAGACAACATTTACCTCACCACTGGGGCCAGCGACGGCATTGTGGTACGACACCCAAAACATTTTCTTCCTGTTTCTTTTGTTGCACGGAATCATTTTTGCTTTCCAGTAAAGAAAGTAGGGAAATATCACATTTTTGCAATGCTGGAAAAAGCGGCCTTATTGCGTTTAAAAGGGGAAAAAAAGCTAATATTTTTTGCTAAAGATGTGTCCATTTTAATCCACTTCATGTAGAAGGTTTCATGTTATGATTTAGAGGCAGTTTAGTGTACCCGACCTAAATATTACATCATCACGAGAAGTGAAATCAGTTTTATTTTAAAATATGATACTGTGTGCATATTGTGTTTAGCTGGTCCTTTTTGACCCAGTGTGTGCCTTGTTTTTCTTCTTCCCATGTTTCCCTCTCAGACCATGCTGAAGCTGCTGGTATGTGGAGAAGGAGCGGGGCGCACAGGGGTCATGATCTCAATACCTCAGTATCCCCTGTATTCGGCTGCCCTGGCAGAACTGGGAGCTGTGCAGGTCAATTATTACCTGAATGAGGACAAGTGCTGGTCTTTGGACATCAATGAACTGCAGCGTGCTGTGAATGAAGCAAGACTGTACTGCAACCCCCGAGCCCTGTGCATCATCAACCCTGGAAACCCCACTGGTAACTCTTCCCTTTTTAATCGTAGTTTGTTTGTTTTCATCTCTGTGCACCACTGTTGATAATGCTAAAAAATGTCCTTCTTGTTATTTCTGCATTCAGTGCATGTGCGACATGCTTCAAATAGTTTTAATTTTGATTACGTTTTAAGGTTTGATTTGTGAAGAATTCGCTTCATTAGGGAAAAAAGGGTTGAATTGTATTAAATTTGAGAGCCAAAATTGAAAATTTGAATTACTGTTATCTGTTCTTTTTAGGACAGGTAGCTAATATAAGTTCACTAACACTTACTTTGCTTCAACATTTAAGCTTTTTGCGTAATTTTTTTCTTTTAATTGTATGCTTCTCAAAAGGGTTTTTGGTGTTGTCAATGTGAAAATAGCTCACTCGGCATCACAGGGCTTCAGAATCAGTGTTATTTATAACACTGCTTGGACAGCTGTATATCTCCAACAGCTGAGCTGTCTGTTTTATAACCTCAGACATCACATTGAGAATTCTGGAAAAAAGCTTGTAAGCTTTCTTCAGTCACATGCGAGGGAACATTTTCCATCGCAGATAGTGAAAGTGGAGACATCGCAATTGTTCCTTAACGGAACAAAAAGGCCCACTAGATGGCAGCAAAACAACATAATCCCTCCTCAAACCACCACCATGACATGCCTTCCTTTCTTCACAGGTCAGGTTCAGAGCAGAGAGTGTATTGAGGACGTAATTCGATTTGCTGCAAAGGAACGTCTCTTCCTCATGGCTGATGAGGTACCATCTCTTTCCTACCCCCGCTTTAGGTCTTCAGCCTGTGGAGGTTGACTTTCTGTCCCATTCTTCTAGGTGTACCAGGATAATGTGTATGCCGAGGGTTGCCAGTTCCACTCCTTCAAAAAGGTTCTGTTTGAGATGGGGCCGGAGTACTCAGAAACAGTTGAACTGGCATCCTTCCACTCCACCTCCAAGTGTTACATGGGAGAGTAAGTCCTCTCATTTTCATTATGTTTTTTTTTTCTGTGAGGGATTCAGCATTTACACAGTATATATATATATATATATATGTCATATTTAGGAGTTATTTGTTTTCTGTGGTTCTGTTTAGATTTGGGTTTAATCCTAATCCTCCTTCCTCTCAGGTGCGGCTTCCGTGGAGGCTACATGGAGATTATAAACTTGGACAATGATGTGAAAGCTCAGTTGACGAAGCTGTTGTCGGTCCGTCTCTGTCCCCCTGTTCCCGGACAAGCTCTTATGGACCTGGTGGTCAACCCCCCCCAGCCTGGGGAACCTTCATACCAGCGCTTTATTAAGGTAAACTACAGCAGTTATTTAACATCCTACAACCATCATTACTTAAAACAGTACTGTGCGTTTCAACACCAGCTCACATTGTTCGTCATAATGCAGTAAAATGCTGTTGATTATTGACTCGATCTTTTAATTACTTTGTAGTTTCTGTAATGGAGGTGTTTTTGATTTTGACTGACCAAATACCAGCATTGTAAAAATGTAAATGAAGTCTAGGCAGTACCCGCCCCCTCCGGGGAGTCAGATGTCGGTTTCCAAAATGTTTCAGAAATCACAGAGCAGTGCCCGCTGCTGTCCGACATCCTTTTTTCAAACAGTTCTGCTGGTTTTTGGGAACTAAGGACACAAGCTGCTATTCTTGAAGTTTTCCCTCATTGTTGTTTGAGAAAATGTATTATCAGCTCAGCAGTTCAAGGACTCTTTTCTTTTACAGTTTATTTCATAAAGTATCACAACAACAAAAAATCCCACCGCTGACAGGTAGCTTCCAAAACTCATTTAGAATGTAATATCTTTTCCTGAAATAAATGCAGCCTTTTATGAAACAGACTATCTGACTGTGGCTCTGAAGCCTGTGTGTTTATATCATTCAGCATTAATGGTGCCTTCACTGATGTGCAAGTTAACCATGCCATGTGCACCGATGCATACCCGTACCAGCACATTTTTGAGGCTGTATAGTGATTTCCACCTCACTGTCCTGTCTTTTACAGCAGAGCTGTCTGGGGCTAGACGAGCAAGGCCATTAAATTTTGGATTCACAGTTTTACTTTGGGAAACATACTTCTTTTCATACATAGCCAGAGTGGTCACATTTTTTTCCTGCATAGAAATGCTTTTCATCTAAGTGAGAATGAGTGTTTAAAAATCAATAGCATTTACAGTGTTCGATTTGTGAGCTGAATTATTATTATTTTCTGATTCTCAGATGATTTCCAATCTGTTTTAGCGCACATTTATATGTCTTTGGAAACAAGTTTGTGTGAGACTGTTCACTTGATCACAACCATGGGTCATGGATTATATTACTGCATTGTTTGTGTGATGTGATCATTCTTCTATATTGTAGAGCAAGATCAAGATTAGAATAAGATTTTCTTTTCTTTTTATGATATTTGTTAAACAAACCTTTTTAATTTGCTCTAAGCTTCACATATGCAGCTGATATTTTGTGAAACTACGTGCAGCTTCAGCTTTGGTTTACCTTCATCCTTTGCTCTCTCTCCCACTTACAGGAACGCACAGCCACATTGAGTGCCTTAGCAGAGAAGGCCAAACTTACAGAGCAGGTCCTCAATACCGTGCAAGGCATAAGCTGCAATCCTGTGCAGGGGGCCATGTACTCCTTTCCTCGCATAACCATCCCTGAAAAGGCTGTTAAAGAGGCCACGGTCAGTCCTGAACTTTTTTTTAAATGTTCCATTGAGTTTCACTGTATTATGGTCTCAAGGTAATTTCATTGATCAGGAGCAGCCAAATGAAAAGCAACAATCTGAGCAGTTTTATAAGAGTTTATTTTCTCTCTAATCTACCACTCATCTTTGGACAACTTGTGTTTTTTTTTGTCTCTTGAAATTCAACATCCCTTTAGTGCTTTTTCTTATGCTCTACTCTTATCATTATTATTGAAAATAGAAACTAAAGTACTGTGTTGGACAGCTCTTCACACGAGTTCAGGATGTTGTGCATCCACAGCACTGTTTGCTAAAGGGAACTAATGATTTCCTATAGCTTGTAGTTCCAGTTGAGTCTTACAGTTGACTGCCCTGTAGGAATTTCATTGGGATTTGGAGAACTGAGCCACTGAGAGTCTGATTAGCCTTACAGAGGATAAGGTCAGAGTCAAACTGACCCACTGACACCTGATCAATCCCAGTGACTCTGCTCATCATATCGATCCCACTGCTGTTGCCACACTCGCACACAAAGGTAGTGCTTCTTAATATTAAAATGATCACGGGCAGCTTTGATACAGCGCTACTGTACCGTGGGTTGAGCTCATCTCAGTCAGAAGTGCTCCACTACATCTGAAGCCGAGGCATCTGAAAACCCATTTGAATGTTTAAGGAAATATTTAGATTGAGGAATAGTTGATGTAGCTCTGTAGCACTGAGAAATAATTCATTTTTATATTGCAGCCGCAGCAGTGGGCCTCTGCTTTTCTAACGCAGCCCTTTGGTCCACCTATACTTAAAATGATTCCATTTCCACAAGATGTTCTTTCCAATGAATATAAATCCAGCCAAAACATAATTACTAAGTAAAGTAATGGCACTCAATAGCAGCTTGATTTTTTTTTTATTATACGAATGTATGAAGCTCACTAATTGTTGCAGTAATATCCCGGCATATAAAATCCTGGCGAAAAAGTCAGGGTGACAACTGGAATAATGAAAAATGTCTTCTTGTCACCATTAGGAAAAAGGACAGCAGCCAGATATGTTTTATTGCATGAAGATGCTGGAGGAAACTGGAATCTGCCTTGTACCTGGAAGCGGTTTTGGCCAGAAGGATGGAACCTACCACTTCAGGTACAGAGCCTCTTTTGGTTTTCGGCTAAAGGATTGCTTATCTCTTTATCCTTTATTTTTACCAACAGTCAAAGTGGCTACATAGTGAACTAAAGGTTTTTTTTCTTCCCCAGATTATTTTTTAACTCAATGTTATTTGGGTATAATATGTCTCTATATAAATTATCAAAAATAGGGGTTTTCGATCAGTACCTACTAGCCCTTACCAGCCACTGCTTGGTTTAGGTAGTTGACGGCCCGAACAGGTCCTGACGGCATTAGAATGCGATGCAAGCTCATGTGAACAATGAAGGTTAAAATAAATGCAGATAACATGTATATGCCTTTTTATTCTATCCGTATTTTTCTACCAACTGCAACAGCATAATTTCCCATTAGAATGAATTATTTATTTAGCTTTTTCTATTGTAGATTGTGATGACAGAGAAATGCTTTAGTATTAATTTATTGTGTGATTTGCTCGATTTCTCCCCTTCCCTGTCCTGCATAGGATGACCATCCTGCCACCAACAGACAAGCTCAAGATCCTGTTGAACAAAGTCAAAGAGTTCCACCAGAACTTCACCAAGCAGTATTCTTAAATTTCCATCTCCATGTTCTCTCCCCTCACAGAGGAGTGGAGTTGCCAATCTCAATAAAAAGTAATAGCCAATCATAATTTCGTCACCACTGATAAGTGCCTTTCCTTCCCTGGCTCTGGTGGTCTCTGTGATGACACACTTTGGCCTCTATACCTGTCACCCTTGGACTTTTTCGGACCTTACTCTCAAGGCACTGTTCGGACCACAAAACCAAACTGGAAATTAAACGAGTCACATCCGCCTCAGCTCTGGTGCACAAAGTGCTTCATCTATTGTCTGTACTGTTTTCTTTTAAAGAATGTACATAGTTTGGATCTGTGAACCTGTAAGACAGCTTAACTGTTATTGATGATTTAACAAAAGGCGGTACAACGTAAGAAAAGGCTTATGCTGCTTATAGAGTATGTGTGTAACCGGTAGATATACTTCATTCCTGAGGTCTGTATTGGAAGAGGACAATATGCTCGGAAAGTTCCACTTGCATGATGATTCAGTGGGATATGATTTTGTAGAGGTGTAATAAATATAATGGCGTATGTTTTGTGTCATTGTTTGGATAGTTTTTAGGCTTTATGATCATCCTTCTTTTGTGGACACTCTCTTCACTATTTTCTTCCACAGTTTTACAGGACGTGTTTCATCTCTCAGAAATGTTTTACCAGATTTAAATGACATATAAATCATTGTAAACTAACTACAAAGTACGTCAAGCTTTGTTGAAGGGAAATGTAAACGGATATGTTAGTCATTTCCCACCTCTTTTTTCATTATGAAGTCTTAAGTAGGCAGCGGGGGAATGATTCACCACCTAAATGTTACTTATATTTAACCCAGAGATGATCTTCAACCAGTGACACTGTTTAGACGAGAAACATATTAGCCTTTCTCAGTTAGGAATTACTTTACCCTCAGCAGGGAAGAAGATTCCCGCATGTCTGGGTAAAACTAAATATTTTACTTTGAATCTGAATGCATTCTATTTCCAAGTACCACCCAGAGTCAGAGCATCATCGCCGCTGTCTGTGCTGCACAGTTCTACTATTTCTGCTACCAACATCTCACCAGACTTTAAACTTTAAGCAATCTCTCTCTGGGATCATGTTCTCTATGCAGACAGACTAAAGCAGACCTATTTCCACACGCTGTACAGTCATTGACGGCTAAATGAAGCTCCTGTGAAAAGGAACCTTTGTAAAACATGACTCCTTCACAGCCTCTACCACTGGAGAGAAAGAATGCCTGACTATGTTTATTATAGAGACGTTTGATATGTCAGCAGGGTATTAGGCAAAAACAACCAGCCCACAACGCAAATGGTTGAAGAGGATGAAGCTTTTTTTTTTATTTCCTGCAAAAGGAACATTTGAACCGCTCTGTTCATCTAATAGTGTTTGAAAAAGCTTTGATATTTCACTTTTTTTTCTCTCGTGTCGACGGTAATGTTGAAATTTCAGACAGAAAAAAAGGAATGAAGGGCCTCGTCATATTATGACTAAACAGATAATTGGTTAAGGATTGTTCTAAAGTTTTCATTTCAGTGGGAAGGAGCGAGGTCGAGATGTGAGCTGTCTCCACATTGCAGAAACTGTCACCTCTAATTATGCTCGGACTTGTTTTTGGCTCAACAAGCTGCAGATACGTGTGCCACGGATTAATTTATTGTCTGTATTGTTGATCTGTCATCTGTTTTAATGCCCGGTATGCATTTTCAGAGCAAGTAAGAATGATGGATGGCACGTCTGGTTTGTGTGTATAAGTGCGAGTGTGTGTGATGGAGGGAGACTGATAGACGGTGTAGAGTGTGTGTTAAAAGTGAGGCCTGTAGTTTGAAGGGGTTTTCTGCTCTCTTCCTCTCGACTCCACAGTGGCTGTCAGCTTTAATTATCTTTGACAAAGGGCCTTCTGAATCCTAATTATCCTGAGCTTTGTCTTTCCTGGAGCCCCTCACTATTCACTCTAGCTGCCTGACGCACTCACTCGTTCCAGTCTTCTTCACCCGAAATTAATTGGCTGCGTTTGCAGTTTTTCTCTCGTCTCCTGACATCTTTTGGGAATCAAAGGTCATCATTAGTTCGGGTGAGGATGTAGGGCGACAGTGAGACAGTTATTCGTCAGACATCAGTGCTGTCAGGTGGCTGTCCCGTCCCTGACAATGACCAGTCTTTATTCGCAGTCTCATGTGTGGACATTCATCCGACTGACTGGTAAAGCTTATTGAAGCTCAGTGATGTTTGTGAAGTGACAATCATATTTTGTTCATTATTCTGAAGCTGTGGGACAGTGATGGCAGCGAGAGTCATTTAGTTTGATCAAAGTCTTTACGTTATCTGCCATTTACATGTACTGGATGGGGATTTCTACCCTCTTCAGAGCCAAGGATTCATGATATGCTATAATTATTATACCTTTAGGGAAAAAAACACCTAAATCCAGCATCATTGAGCTCAGGATCAGGTTTTAGGAATCTCTCCTTTGACCATTTAGTTTTATTTTCCACCAGTGAGAAACTGGAGATCCTTTTTCTGCCACTGGATTTTAGCCCATGTGAATAATGGCTGGTAAAAACTGTCTTACTTTTAAGAAAATGATTCCATTTCGTATAGATAACTGAATTTCAAAATTATTTACCATGCAGTCCAGCTCCCACCGAGAGAGGGCACATCCTGGACATGTCACCGATCTGTCACAGAGCCTGCACACAAACTCTCATTCTCACCCACACTCTCTCCATGGGCCAATTTAGAGTCACCAATTAACCCAACATGCACCTTTGTTGGCCGTGACAGGAATTTGGAGTACCTGCAGGGAAGAGGGAAGCCACACATCCACAGGGAGAACACGAACACTCTCTACACAGTAAGGCCCCGGCTGAGATTCAAACCAGTAACTTTCTTCTGAATCTTTTTATCAGAATCCCAGAAATCCTCTTTATCTTTATTTCTGATTAAGTGCCTCTGAAGCCCATTCATACCCAGTCATGTTGCTGACCTGTTTGCCAGTTAAACTAATTGATAGCTGTTGAAAAAGTAGACTCTCATTTGAATCAGTGGACAACTTCTTCAGCTTTTGCTCTCCTTCGAAATGTACTGGACTGAATTAAGACATGTGCATTAATACTCTGCTGAAAATCAACACCGTCAGCGCTTTAGTGGAACCTCCTATTTGTTTGTGTCTCTTTCCTTTTCACTCTCATAGTCACTCATATACTTGAAGTAGATAGCCTATGTTGAATTTGTCTTCAAAACTAATATAATAAATATTTATTTTAGATTAGTTCTCATGAAGATTTTGTTTCTCTATTTTTTGTATAGCCATTTTTATTAACCAAATGTCCACAGATAAAAAAAACAGAATATATATATATGTATAGACCTATTAAGTGCAGAAATTGACAAAAGACTGTTCGCTGAAGCTGAAGGCTGTGAAATGTACTCAGACAGTTATCACCCTTTACTCTTTCAACTACTTTCTGCATAGAAACGAACAAAAAGTCCTTCATGACAGCCGAGTATTTGGATTCGAGAAAACGTTTGCTCTTCTTCAACTGAAATATTCTTTTTTTTTTGTCTTTCCCTTTATCTTTTCTGTGCCCGGTTTGATTTTTTTTAGTTTAAATTTTTGTTCCTTATTCAAAGAGTTTATGTATCTTAAAAAAAAAAAAACTAAAGTGCACTTTAGTGCCGGGCCTGGTTGTGTCGATGTTCATTTTCATCATAGCTTTATATCCTTGGGGAATAAAGGTCACCTTAACCTAGTTAACCTAGAAAAAAAACAGTCATCCACACTTTCACATGACACAGTCCACTCAGTAAACAGAAAACAGGGATAGATTTGTAAGAAAAAAAAAATCCAAACGCACGAAAAGAGAAAACAGAGGGGTGGGGTGATGATATACAGATTGGGTGATAAATCTTGTTCTGATCAGGTTTCTCTGGTGCCCTCACACCTCAGTCTCTTTCTTGGGGTAATTAATCAATCCCAGACTGGAGCCATTGATCGGCCTCTCGTGGCCCTCGCTATGTTTACACTCCTCGATTGTGTTTGCCACTAAGCCCCTCGTTGCTGCTCAATCTCATCGGCAGAATATGTGACACTCCACCCTCTGATGCCATCAGCAAAACAGAGCATCGATTGACATCTTGATGAAAATCAATCTACTTATATTTTTTTGGGGGGCTGCACGGGGGGATTTTGTTTGCTCATAATCCTTCGCGGTAATCCGGAGCTCTTGGTTTTAATACATTAAGTTTGACTGTGAACAATCACAGCACTTCTGGAGCGTGAGCGGACATGTCAGAGCTCAGATATGAAGTGCCGGACATCTCCTGCATACAGTGGAACTGAAATCTGAGCCGCAGAACTATCCTGAGTGTGCACTCGGCTGCATTTTCCAGGGCTGCTCTTATATTCGATCCATCAGATTTGTCAGGAATATGCTTTGAAACATCCTTTTAACTGGACTTTTTCTCGAGAAACCTGACATGTTAGTCGACTTTAAAATAACAGTTTCTGGTTCAACATATAGTTTGATGGCTGAGCTGCAGGCAGAGGGATGAAAACACAATTTGCCACTTAGATGACTTAATCTCTGGGGACAATCCATTTGATTAGTCTCTTTCAGACAACCTAATATCAGTTTAATTGTAAAGCCAATTTTGTACTAAATGGGACTGTCAAACATTTCTTTCACAGGCAGGACGGAGAACTACAGCAGCCTGCAATGCTTTCCCTGCTCTAATGAGTCTGGATTTTTTTTCTGACACTGCTCCAACATATTTAAAGTCATTTGATGTTTTTAGGTTTCCCTCTCATGTCTATCTCAGTTCTTTAGGTGGAGCACAGGTTTGAGGAAAGGAAGTACCTCACTAAAAATTCGCTGAAGCAAGCTGGCTGAGCCGTTTCTCTGCTCAGGTAAAGCTGCAGGTGAGGGTATTTTTTTTCAATTTGAGTTTGGCCATAAAGAACATGTAGACCATTATTGAAAAATAATGTCTTATTATTTTGGCCCCGTATGAATCTTGATGCTGGTGATCAGTGCAGAAATATGAATAGTTTGAAAAATGTGAATTGGTTTCATCATAAAGTCTTTTTGGATTTCCACGTATTTTATTTTGAATCATTTTGGTGACATTCGATATTGTATCCCTGCCTCTAACAGGCTGCAGCTCATGATTCAATGTCTTATTCAGAAATGTGAGTGATGACGTGTTTGGCTTTGAGCTCCTGCTGGAGGACAGGAGGCTGATGCGGAGGAACAAGAAAAAGTGATTATTGAATTAATGATACAAAAGAGTGTAACAATAATAGATGCGAAACCACTTGATCACTGCAAATCTCCCCTTAACAAGGAGGATAAACACAGTATGGTTCAAAGGGATGGCTCGGTCTGCTTTTTATTTGGTTATATTTGACTAATTTACCGTCTCCATAAAGCACAACATTCATCGTTCCTGTCAAACATGGAGATCAGCCAGTCAGATCAACTTTAAATACGTTTTAAGAGCAGTCTGAAAAACATCTGATGAAATGTTGGATGTTTATATGATGAAAAGGGACTGAGAGGATAATCATTCTAGGACTGGAAGAAACTGAGCTACCACTACATCATTAGAGACACTAGCTAACTGACAGAACTTTGCAGAGTCTACATGAATGCTTCACTTGCTTCCAGCGGTAGATACATCTTAACTTCAGCTGTTCAGAGGAAACTTTGAATCAGGTCTTCAGGGCTGAATTGCAAACTGAAGAGCAAAGAAATGAATGGAGGGAAAGAACCGCTGTGCCTAAGAAACACAGAGAGAAGTTTGGTTGACTCATTTTTTTAGACTTAGAATTCCAACATTAGTTGTCAGAAATAATGACATTTACTCGCTGTTTATTTACTTTGTATAATGATGAATGTACATGTGATTTAAGATATTCAACAGCCTAAAATTGTTAATATAATTTGTATAATAGGGCTAATTCTTCTCATTGCAATCTACTATATCTTTGTTTGGTTCCCACTCAGGAGCACAGAGGGCAAAATGTGGTGGAGAATGGGGACGATTTTTTTAAAAGACACAAAAGCCCGGCATAATTTCTCCATCAATCTGGGAGCAGGCCTGCCGAATCAGGTTGTGCTGTGAATGACCATAGATGTTTTTTTTTTAACAGGAAATAAATAACTCACCTTCAGGTCGAATGACGTCGCCTCCACATTCACCCACCTGAAACCTTACAGATTATCTTCATCAAATTTGGTGTCACTGCAAATGATATGCTCAGATTCTCTACAGAACGGGTAAATTGAATGCATTTGTGAACATTTAATTTGCTGCACGACGATGTGAGGCACTATTGAGCATTTATCGTCTTGACCCTGTTTTCCAATGGATTTCACTCAACATTATCAAAACCATTCAGAAAGGTCTGATTAGTCTCACAGTTCTGGATTCATGTATCAAACTGCTCTCCATCTCTGGGAGGGGTGAGTT